ATGAACATTTTAATTATAGCGAGATAAGAACTACGTTGGTCGCATTTGTAAATTAGATGCATGCAAGAAGATGTTGTAACAAATAAATGTAAAGAAGTTCATGATAGAGCTATGTAAAGTAAATTTTTGAAATCCTGGTACGTTTGAATATTTGAATATTTAAATATTACTGCAATCTCCGATCTTGAGATTCGAATAATTCTATTTCAGATAAAACGAATAGTCGAATAATTCGAGTACTTCGAATATCATGCATATTTTCAGACGGTTGAATTGTTGCCATGTTTGTACTGGTACCGTCATTTTGCAGTATATACAGGGTGTTTCCAAATTAAATCGCAAAACTTTGGGAGCGTGTAGAGGAGTAAAAAACTAAGAAAAAAAGTCCTATAGACATATGCTCGTTTTTGCTCCGTTTCAGAGAAATCGAAAAAAAATGTTTATATTTCTTGCCATATCTAGCACCGACATATTTGATTACATTTTCCACTTTCTGTTATGAATTTGTCAGTCGCTCTTTGAAAGCCTTTAATAGTAGATGAATTTTGTCTTTTGCAATATGCCGCGTACGTATTCTAATAGTGAATATGCTGATATGGTTTTTGTATACGGTTTCTGCAACGGTAATGCTTTAAAGGCATGTATTGCTGCAAGAGGTGCACATTTCGAACAAAATCTTCATTAAAAAGTTTATAAATAAAATAATTAAAATAATAAATTAAATATATTTTTTTCTTTTTTCGTGATTTCCTGCGAAACAAAGCAAAAAGGAGCATATGTCTATAGGACTTTTTTTCTTAGTTTTTTACTCCTCTACACGCTCCCGAAGTTTTGCCATTTAATTTGGAAACACCCTGTATATTTCCATATTTATTAGACTTGTGATACTTTTGACCAATAAACTATCTGTATATATTTATTAAATAGATACAGATTATCTTGATATTCAAATACTTGAAATATTCAGCTATTTTTTATTGGAAATCTCATGTTCAAGTTTCATCGAATTATCCGAATAACAGAATTACTCGAACATCTACAATCCCTGCTCACGCTTAAGTTCTGTCACTTATGTCTTACGAGATACAATAAAAAAGTTTCCGGACTAACGCTGTAAAAAAATAATTGACTAATCCTATTTTCCCTCTTCAAAGTAATTCCTTTCAAAGTAATCTTCTTAGACAGTAATTTTTAACTGGTGATGTGAAAAAAGTGAAGAAAGTTCAATACAATTAATAATCTCTCAATTTCTTTACTTTCTTTAGACTTTTTTTAGTTTTCGAAACACATAATATGAATCATTTTTATTGATTATCTAAGAAATTTAATAATGTAAAAAATAGGAAAGAAATATTGTCGTATTTAAATTAATGCTTTTGACTATATAAAAATTTGTAAATAAGAACTAGAAGACAAAATTTAAATTCTTTCAAATACCTTCTTAAGAATTAAGTATAAGCAGTCAGTCTAAGAACTATTTTTGTATCTCGTATGATTGACATCAAAATGGTTGAGACAGTTTTTTTTTGTGATCCTTAAAACATTTCCGATACCTAATAAAAGACTCTGTTTCATTCATTTTGAATTTTGACACTGATACATTTTATCGTGTTAAACCGTAATAATATGTGTTCGAGAAATTCATGATCATGCCTTAATCGCGACAAGAACAAGTCCTGTTGTTAATAATGCTTTCTCTCTTGTACGGATTTAATTTAAAACTAACACGTTTTACACACATATACAAAGTATACTGTTGGCGTCTGCCAAGGATTTTATCCAACGTAACTAGGTTAGGTTACAAGATACTGCGAATTTATATCATAACAATGTATCGCGTTTATCGCACATTTCCACTTAGCGTTGGTCCCTGACATACAATTATTTTATTTGGTTATTATTCGATTATAATTCAGAAATGTAAATCACGCATTTAAAATTAAATCATATTGATGTGCATTTCAAAAATAATAATTTATTAATTAATGTTTTATTAATATAATTATTCAAAACATCGATATAAATATTTTATACATTTGATTAATAATAAAGTATGTACTTTTAACAATATTTTTCTAGAAAAATATTATTTCAATAACAGAAAAAGATACATTTTATTAAAAAAGTATACTTTTTTTAATCATAGAATCTCTTATATAATATGTTTGCCGATATCGTGAATCATTTATGGGATATTTCAAGATGAGTTGAAGATATCGTCTAAAATTAATTCCCAGAGGCGGCAGGAAAATTGCGTAGAGTATCTAAAGCCGACGCTTAAAGGTTAATCTATCGTTGTGAGCCTATTTTTTCTGATAGCGCATGAGATACGCGAGGGAAGACGATAACATGAACTAACATTTCTCTCGATAGACATAAGCATTCTGTTATACAATTTTTTATAATCGTCCGCGAGACACTCCCTGTTATATTCTTAGGTAATCTCGTGTCTAAGCAGGACACGGAATACGATAATTAAGCGTTTAATTGATAGAACGTATTTACGGTCATTGGTATATTATTAGTGTCAGTTGCGTGTGAAGCGGCCAAGCATGTTTAATGACGTTGGCAGAGCCTTGATACATACAAGCGAGATTTTCACGTCGAGATATTGGAAATGCACATCTGTTTGTAGCTGCAAAGTGATGTTTTTGTATATTTAAAATACTTTCTTTTCGTATAAAAATATTACAATGATGCGAAAGGGACGTTATTTACGCGTTCGTCATAAATTATAAATTAATTATTATCTGCTAAAGGAGGCGGAGTAGATTGTCGTATTTGTCAAATAAAATTACGCCTAGATTTTTATTAATTAACGTGAAACGTCAGTTTCAATTACTTTTCTTCATAATACGTAGAGAAGTTTAAGTGTCTTTTCCAGTAATTAAAATAATTGAATTTATTTTAAGGAACTTAGTGGAAGACTTTTTTGTACTAACTTTATCTATAATTATGTATCACATACACAGAAAGTAGAATATCGCTTTTGAAAACTTGCATAAGTGTCATGGTCAAATTGACACTTTCGTTGCACGCGTTACCGAATAAATAAAGATCAAATACTAGCGATTTGAATTGCGTTCGCGCTTTATGAGACGGCCGTAATATAAAATCTTCTACATAACATCTCGAACGATATACCATCCTCTTTCCTTTCCGTTATTTTATTTTATTGATGGTTACGAGTTATATGGATAAGCGTGCAGCGTTATCTGTATAACAATGAAATAATAGAAACATACTAGAAGGTAAGAAGACGATTGCAGGTGAAGTGTCGATAAGTGTTTAGCATTCTGTCGGAATATGTATGTAACGTACCAACAAAAAAATGTTATCGATATCGATGACTATCACCTATAATTTATTGATAAAAAAATAACAAAAATACTTACGATTAAGACGAATACGTAAATACACGAAAGATAGTCTTCGTTTGTGTATGTTTCGAATATATGTATATGTATATACATATATAGACGATATGTAAACAACTGGCGATTCGACGTTATCGCCTGTCAGCCGAGGCGCCACTATCTGTCCACTGTTCAAATTAGCAATAAATTTTAATTTTCTTAACTTTGCTGTCATTTTATAGGAGATGCCGTGGTAATGTCGAATCGTATTCCAGGTAGCTAAAAATGTATCGAGTTGCGAGTATAAGTACACTTATTTGCTCAGAAAAAAAACACATTAAAATATTAAATATTATATTATATATATATAATAAAATATCTCCATTGTGTATATGCTTTTATATAATTCTCCTAATTCCTATTATGACTACTATTTATGCGAGTTATTAACTCAGAGAAAGAGAGGCGAGCAATTTTTTAATTAATACAAATTATAGGAAATTAATCTCCATAAAATTATAAAATTTCATCAAAATATAATATATAGATAAATTATTAATTTATATGATAAATTTTATATTAATATCTAATTTTTTATTTAATGTTCAGATAATTGGATGACAACGTGCTAATAAAAATGTCAAATTTTTTCTACATTAGTATTCAGTTAATTTTATTTTGTTCACTTATTACAATCTAATAGATATCTAATTTCAGCAATGTCCCGATTATCAACCTGTAAGTTACGAACATCTAAAGTTTCTGTTTTAACTGAAAATTATTGTAAAATGTGAAATTAAGTTTAAAATTCATGTTTAAACGCGTAAATTGATTTTCTTTAACAAGTTTCTGTTTCCTACCTAGAGTTGCTGAGAACTTCAAAGCGAGACGATGTTATTTTAAAGAAATTTATAGATATTTTTTGCATTTTTTCTCTCAAACTTTTTTAGTAGTAGTATTAATATAAATCTCTATATAGTAATAATTATAACTTTAATTTTTGTACACCAATAAAATCTTTATTAAAGTCCAAATAAAATGCACTTGTTTAAGAAAAACTTATCGTATGGCTATTGTTCAAATTGTCACATATTAACATGTAAAAATTTTAAACATGCACGAGATACGATATCTAGTAACCACAATCGACGACTGACACTTTTTTTGCCTCTGCAAGAGCATTCTGTTATCGCATGATTTTTTTGCTACATTTCCAATCCCTAGTTCTTCAGAAAACTCTCTTTAGAATCTTGTGAATGTAACATCTGTAGGAAAGATTGAAGAGTATATGGTAACGTACATTTTTATATTTCTTTATGCCATTCCCGAGCACAAAGACGATTTTAATCTAAATATACTTACGAACAGAGTTCGTCGACGGCGCGAATACATTAACATTGCATGTTCCTCTTCACGAGAAAGAAGGAGGATATGTACCCCGTAATAACGCAGTCCTCCTATTCCGTGATACCACTGGCATGATAATAGGCTGGAATAATAGAAGGGGAAATAACTCGATCAAAGATTGTACTACGATTGCCGTAGTAGTACGTCTGTTATTACGTATCTTCCAGATGTATCATTGTAGTGTGCGGTACGACGATCTCGTTAATACGGCATAACTGAAGTAGCAGTCGGTGCATGATGACGATGAAGGATGTGAAGAAGGATAAGTTTCTATCGATACGGCTAGTAAGGTTTCTCATGAAGGTTACCGGTTTCTGGCCCGCCGAGTCAAAAACCGAGAAACGATTAATGAATGGAGTTTTGAGTTATACAATATGTATATGTAGTACAGCTTTGTGGTTAGAAGCAACTGAAATATATCTAGGTAAAGGCGACTTTTATGTAAGTATTATATCAAAATTTGTGTCAAAATAATAAAAATAAGAAAATGATCAAATTAGCCAACGGCTAATATCACTAGATTAATATAATAATATTCATTCGCGCATAAGTAGTCAAAATTTAGAATTGGGAATAATACATTATTTATAATACCGTTACTATTACAATTACTTTTTTGTAACAAAAACGTATCGTACCGGCAGTGTTATTTTTTATTTTGGAATAGTAACATAAGTTACATTTTTTCAATAATGGTAACAAATTTAATAGTTACTTTTGTTTCCATTTTTTTAGTATAATTTGTTTTTTTTTTTTTTTAAGATCGTCTTTTAATTCATTAAGGAGATCCCTATGCCTTTTCCACTTTAAATATTTTCCACTTTATTTCTACAGTAGTTTTTATTGATATTAAGATTTTTATATATTAATTATATATTTTTCCTGGATAGAGTTAATGAAAAGTTATTTTCTTATTTTTCAGTAGTATAATTTTTATAAAAAGTAAGGACTTAGTAACAAAAACTGAATTGATATTTCAGGCTCTCACGTACACTGCTTGCAGCTCTATGCCAGTAGTCATAATAATGCTGAAGATAATTTTCTTTCTTCGTTATCGAAAAGAACTGTTGAATGTGTTAAAGTATACACAGGATAATTTTTGGTACGCACAATATGACGAGTACGGCAGCAAGATTTTGGAAAAGATTAATAAAAAGGGATTAATATTAATGTGCACGTTTACATTCTTCGTTCAAGGAACTGTTTGCACCTATATCCTGACTCCTATACTCGGTATCCTGAACCTAAGTTTACATCGCCTACTTACAATTAGTAGAGAATAGAACGCGGTAAAAAGTCTTAGTTCAGGTACTAAGCACTTTTGTTCGTAAACTGTTGCGCAGACAAGGATATCATATTTCTCTTTTACGTTACATTTTTATAGAAAATATGGGGAAAAATGAAAGCGACAGAATTCTTGCTTTTAATGTCTGGATTGGAATTCCAACAACCGTTTCGCCTAACTTTGAAATAATATTTACTCTCGAGGTAATACAGTATGATCCTTCAAAATTGTGTTATACTAACAATAAGAACATTCAATTTTATATTAATTTTTTAGAAAGTTGCGACAGTTGTTAAGACTTTTATGATGTCATATTAATTAAGTTTATGAAGAATTAACTAAATTAATTAAATTATGAATATTAATAATATTAATAGTTATGTCAGCAATTGCATGCATTTGATGTAGCATTTCATTGCCGACATGTCAAATAATGTATGAACGATTTTGATGAAGTATTTAAAAATTTATCTAGATACAGGTCTGAAAATAATTTTGTTGGACTAAAATAATTATGCAGGACACTCAAACTAATTACTAATTATTAAAATATCAAAACTTTTATCAACATTGCTCATCATGCTTGAAATTCTTACGTAATTATTTTGATGCCCAACAAAATTATTCTCAAATCTGTGTGTGTGTATCTAGTTAAATTTTTTTATTACTTCAACCGATTTGTTTTTTTCATGCGTAAACTTTTTCTTTTACAGTGTATGATTTTATAGATTTCAGCGCTCATTCACTGTGGCGTATGCTTCTGTTGTTTCGATAATCTTTTGGGTCTATTAAACTTGCACACTGCTGGCCAGTTCAAAATTCTGCAACATCGATTGAGAAATATTCTCAAGAAAGTCGAACAGACTGATATTGTAAGGTTACTTGATGAGAAACAGAAGCAGAAAGTATACGAAAAGCTCAGAGAATGCGTCATATTGCACCACGAATTGATCTGGTACAGCGAAAAAATGGAACAAATTTTCATGTACACGACTCTTTGCCAGCTGTTGGTGTCCGGCATCATGCTTTGCGTCGCAGGCTTTCAGGTGTTTTTGGTAAGTACCTACGTGTAATTGTAATGAATGAGAGAGAAAAGGCATACGTATCGAAACCTTTTATTCATAAAACGACGTTAGATAAGTAAAGGTAATGTGAGAGAAAGATGAACGTATGTAATATAGTTTACCCGCGTTGATACTTACTTACTGACCTTCTCCACGCGTTTGGATGTTTGTTGGAAAAGGCTCGAGGTACTCTGGTTAGACGACTGATATTCATCGCTCATACAAACGGTTGCTTCGTCCAACTGTTCGTGGTCACGCTGACGGCGACTGATTTAATGAATGAGAGTCGTGCTGTCGGAGACGCGGCGTACAACGCCAATTGGCAGGTTCTATCCCACGAGGAGAACAGGAGAGTCAGGAAAGCCGTCCTGATGATCATGATACGATCCGCACGTGCTTGTTCCATATCCGCTGGCGGTTTCTTCCCGGTGTCTCTTGAAACGTTTATGGCGGTATATATAAATCTGGTGTAAAATATACAATTATAAGCAAACACTTTCCCCAATACGACAATATTTCTTTCTTCTTTCAGGTATTGAGCACAGCGGCGTCCTACTTTACCTTGCTTCGAAAATTCGTGGAATGAGCGCTTGAATAGGGAATTTAAAATTATATAAGAAATAAATTGAGGAAACATCTGTGAAGTATTCAAGATTAAAATATTTAGTTTTTGAAAAACTGAGAAATTTCCGACGTTGCGTGTAATCTTAAATATTTAAAAATACGATGTTTATTCAATGTTTGAAATGTATACGTAATATTGTAATATTCTACAAAATATCAAAGATCAAAGATTACTTGATTTTATTTTTAACGACGTTTTCTAAAAACTAATACAAATAAAATCGATCTTTCTTCTAATAGAAATATCTCGTAGAAATTTTTTCCTTTATGTAAAATTATCCGAAAAAGAAATGTGCGCAAATATTCTTTTTTATCCACTGTATTAGATTGTATTTATGCAAAAAAACTTTGGTTATTATACGATTTAATTAACAAGCTAAAGCTCGTCTGTAAATACTGTATTATCGCCAACAATACCTTACGTGGCAAGTAGATGTCCAATTTAAGATGAAATTTGATAGCTCGCAGTCGAGACGCTACTGATGGAAGCGGCGCGGCGCGAGAGAAAGGGCTACGGCATTGTGTCCACCGGAGATCTAACTTAATACATATACTATCAATTGATTGCCTTCAGCAAAGGAGACGCGTACGATTATAGTCTGTCACTAGGTAAGTGCGCGCCAATTTTCCTGCTTGTTAGCATAATGGGCTTCCACTTATATCGAAATGGCTCGGCTATTCGGATGCACTTAAGACCGTGGCGACGTAAGAAAATCACGAGGTTCGATATGACACGAAGTAAGGAGTACCAATCGGTGAATATTACACGTCTCTTTATGAAAGTAGTCGGGCTCTGGTACGTCGAGACACCGAAAGAAAGATTGCTTTTGCGTGTCGCGTTCGGCTATGCTGTTTGGGCGATCGTCTTCGCCATTCTCGTCGAGGGCGTTGATCTGTATCACTGCTTAGGTGACTTTTACGTGAGTGACGCAGCGACCGCTTTCGCAGTTCTATTTTGACGGACGTAGAAACAGCACGTTCTTGAATTTATTTTGACGTTTAAAGAATTACTTTAAATTTTACTGCGTATTATTTTCAGTTATTAAATTGAGTTGTTAAACATATAAACTAATTAGCATCCCCAATTTAGTTTTGAAAAAAGTAGTGTAGACAATGCAGTTTGAATATAGTAGTTAATAGCAGAGAGTATATGTTTGTGTTTTGTTCTTATATATTTTTTAAATATTTTTCTTTTATTTCGATGAATTGAAATTGTTATAATTGGAAAAGTAAATATAATTGAAGAGTTTCTGATGCTGTGTGTGTGTATATGTGAAAGTACGTGTGAAAAAAGCATGCCTTACGTCAAATGAAAATTTTAAGTAACAGTTTTCAATTGACATAATTTAATGTCAAAGAGACAATAAGATATCATGTTTGTTTTTTATAATTTTATCCTATCTTAAAAAATGTTTTCTATGCTAAAATTAATATGATATTATAGTAATATTTAACATTGGGAATATTTATAACATAAAAACTGCCATTTGCGAAATATTTTTTAAATAAATAAATAAAAAACCAACATCATTAATGTTATTATTTCCGAAAAATTTTTATTTTTGATGCTTACAGCTTTTTTAATACCAAATCTCTCTTTTTTACAATTTCACTAATGTAATTAATTAATTATTTCTCTACAATAACGTGTCTGTTATAACAACATTAGCGAAACTAATATTTTTTATATTTGTTTATTTATGAATTTGCATTCTCACAGCAGCATCAGAATGTTCGTATAGGGGAGAGTTTATTTAATTCTTGGTAGTTTTATTACTCATAGGCTGTCACATCCAATTTGTGTGCAACGTTGCTCTTGATAATGATACTAGTGAAGCTAGGTAGCTTCATGTTCTATCGTGACATAATAATGGACTTGATTCATTTTGCTGAGAAGAATTTTTGGGGTGTCACTTACGACGAGGCTAGCGCGCAAATTCTGGAAGCATACGACAAACTAGGGATGACTATGATCTACACTTTTACATTGATCGTTTACATCGGGACTTTTAATTACATCTTCGCACCTTTCTTTGGTATAATTTTCTTTTCCGCTTACACTGTATTGGAAAATTATAATGTTACTTTTTAAACTGCCACGTGAAACGACGCTGTACAGTGCGTCAACTATTTCTTTGCTGTTTGTAATAGAGCCTCAAGAAAAGAACAAAACAGAGAAAGTTTTACCTTTCAAACTGTGGATCGACTTTCCGTATCACTCACCGTACTACGAAATTACTTACACTATACAGGTAATAAAACAGTGTATGAAATGATGAGTTTTACTCAATTTATGTTAATAATTAACAATTTTGTTGATACAATTGATAATTAATTAAATATTTTTTTACTCATTTTTAATAAAGAACAAATTTTTCTATTAGAATAAATTATTTAATTATATACAAATAATCTTTTAAATTAATAATTGTCAAATTTGAAGCTCAAGATTGCAATGCGTATATTGATCTCTCACCACTTTCACTGTTTTAAATTAACATTTTTAATTTTTCATATAAAAATTTAGTTCGCGTTATTTTGGTTACGTTTGCAGTCACTTTCGACGTTGCATTCGGGTATTTGTACTTTTTGCTTTGACAATTTTGTAAGTACGTTCAACATTCACGCGGCCGCGCAGCTGAAAATCTTGGCTCATAAAGTGCAAGTCATTACCGAACATTGTGTCGAAGATACGATGGACCAGAAACGTCCGTTGGAAACGGATGTTCTGACGTTCAAGAAATTGCGAGACTGTGTGAAGCAGCACTTCACGCTCATATGTTACGTGCGTAACATGCAACGTGTGTTCGCCATTATATTGCTCGGACAGTTGCTGCTTTCCAGTGTAGTCATCTGCTTCGGTGGATTTCAATTCCTCGTGAGCTACGAATTTTACCGCCTCCTTATTTCACGTCCCGCTGTGCTTACTCGCCAGTTAACTCTATTATATTTCCACTGCAGCGTTTTCTCAAAATGAAAAACAATTAGGTTTAATAAATTCAATTCTGCGTTTAAATGAAATTGAATCCTCCAACTCTTATATTTATTTACAACATTTATAATTTATAAACATAAATATAAACATAAATATCAGTCATACATATGCAATTAAGAATTTTAGAAAATTTTTTGAAAATGTTTATGATCGTGTGAAAAAATCAAATTAAAAAAATAATTATATGCTTCGCACTAAAAGGATTGATGTTATCTCGTTTTCTAAAATTTTTGGTCTGACATTTGTTTGCAGGCGACGGATGTGATTATCAGAAAGTGTATTTTTGCCTTTCATTTCGTGGGCGGTCTTATCCAGCTGCTTATTTATACATGGACGTGTAATGATATAATTGTGCAAAGTACAGCTATCTCTGATGCCGCTTACAATTCTAAGTGGTATCTTTTACCCGATAATGATCTAGGAAGGACAGTGAAGAGAGGGTTAATTACGATCATGATTAGAGCACATCGGCCATGCATGTTAACTGCTGGGAATTTCGCGGTTATGTCCTTGGACACTTTCATGGGAGTAAGTATGACGTAACGAATGACACGACTCTTTAAAATTTTCCCAAAGAAATTTATTTACTGCAAGTTGTAAAAAGCACTGGTATCGGAGCTAGTTATTTCTTCGTGCAATGCTATACACTCACGGCTCGCACTTCACATTTTCGCGCAGTTGTAAAATATGTCGATAAGGATATGTATCTCGTACTTCTGGCATTTATCCTGTTTGAAGTTTTTAGATGAATCCTTACGTTAATAACCATCCATATAGCACTTTAAATTAAAAAGTTTTTTTAGTTCTTAAAATGACCACCAAACCGCTGTTAGATCCCTTCCAATAATTTTACATGAATTAATGTACTAGAGAGAGAGAGAGAATAAAATTTAAATTTCAAATATTTAAATATAAGAATTATTCCATTATTATTCGATAATCGGATTACTTAGATACCCGTGTAGGAAAAGCTATAAGATAAATTGTAAACAATATATAGTAAAAGAAAATTTTTTCTATTTTTCTATTTCTGGCTAAAACAATTATCTTTAGACGATTAATTTTATCTGGCTTGATTTTATGTATTTATTTCTGTTTAACCAATTAATTTAATTACACTCTCGATAGTTATTACTACATAATTATAACAATAAAATATTATTTATACTTGCAACAGATATTGAGTACAGCGATGTCGTATTTTACGTTATTACGACAAATGAGTGAAGATAATATATAGTTATAAAATGTAGTCCTATAGAAGGGATTCCTCCCTAGCATTGAAGTTGGAAAAATTCATCTTAATACCTCATAATTCATTTTATCTCATAAAATTTCATATTTGATTTTTAATGAGGTATATGCCTAATAAAATTCCAAGTTCAGGACAACGAACATTTTGCATCGCTGGAATCTTTTCTGTCGGTAAGTGAGCAATTATGTTGAATATCTTTATGATGATAATACTCATTATTTATGAAAATAAAGGTATTTTTGTTAAAAATAAAAGACTATTTTTATTTTAACTTTCGTGTAAAGTATGTAATTTTTAAAGTAATAGTTCTGTATGATTACTATGAGTTGCTATACCTTTCTGTCGTAGATATAACAATTGAAAATTAACAATTATTAAAACAATGTTGAATTTGACATTCCAAGGATTAAATTAATTCATATTAATATCAAAATTTACTGAGAAAAATATGTAAATAATTAAATGGAATGACAAGATATTGTCAACAGAAACGGGTTTTTAATATTCCATACTGAATTTTGTAATCTTCAGAAGATCATTACCCGACATCTGATATAGTAAGATGATATGTTGAATGTGAAGTTACCTAAATAACACCAGACAACAAAATATTTAGAAGATATCTTTATAATATCTTTTAGATATTTTTTGGTTCCAATGTATGTCTCAAAAAACGTCTATGATGTCTTTTGGACATTACTGTTTGATTAGAATTTTAGTAGTCGCGTAAAAATCGCATTACCATCAGTCGGCATGTTACTTATCTTTGTGATGCTTTAAATTTTCAACATACGGAAACAATAAAAAATTGGAAAATAATAATAAATTATAGGAATTACATACAATGCAATTTGAAACTATATAATCAAATGATGTCATGTTTTCAAATTGATATGACACTGTATACTTATATTTATGTTTCAGTAGATAATGACTTATTTTTTTTATTTTATGCTATGTTTATCAGCATCACTTTTTTATTTGTTCCTATTCTTATTTTTGTTCTTTGAATTTAATATATTTTCTCTTTAGTTAAAAAATTTGTATCGTAGTTTCAAGTTTATCGATTTATTTATAGTTAAAGATTAATAACCGTTAAGATTAATAACCGAGTAACAATTTAATGTTTTCTGTTAAGATTTAGATTTTTAATTATATTATCTTTAATTTTTAATTCTCATTAATACTGTATATATCTCAAAATTAGCACTCTTTTAATTTGTTTAACAATCATGATTTATTTGTACAAAGTCGAAGTCTATAATACGTAATAATTCTAGAAGGCAAAATACTGTAAAAATAATACAGTATTAATGCATTGTACAGCTGTTCAATCTGCGACGAAATTACGTCTTTTTTTTATAGTGTTCGACGAAGTCTGCGAATGTCTTCATACCAATGCTTTCGAGTTCACTGTAATTAGGAATTTCGGCTTGGATCTTAATAAACCATCTCAGAATGTTGCTATATTTACTCAAGTCATAGTCCATAAGCTGCAAAAAGACAAATATTAAATTGCTAATTTGATGTTACAATAACTTTCTTGCGAAGTTATGTCTTTAATAATGTTTTTGATTTTGTTTATTAAATCAAAATACGCACTTGTTATATAGCAAAGTGTTACGAATTTACAATAAAGATTTACTTAAATTTAATATTAAAAAAGTAATATTATTAATGAATTACAAATGATAAAACTAATATTTAATTTATAAACAAGAGATAATGCTTTATTATGTTTAAATCTATAATAGAAATGTTTTTTTCCTACGCTATTTTATCGATTTAATAAAAGTTTTATGAATCAGTGGTGTGTGTTTGCATATAATTATATAGTTCCCTACCGGAAAATTAGAAACGGTGACGACCAAGGTAATATCAGCAAGAGTTAGAGTTTTTCCCGCTACATAATTTTCCCCTTCCAGGAATTTATTCAAGAAAGACAAGGCTTCGTGCAGTTTATCATATTTTGCTTGCGCCGGAGTGACGCCGGTGAATATTATCGGATACTGCGATTAATGTATGTACATACATTATATACATATATCATTTCTATCAATCATAGGTATTAAATGATTTATGAAGTATTATACGTTCCAAGAATAACTTACGTAGTAATTAGCGAACGATCTATATAGAGTTCCCATGTCGAAGTATAGTCTTTGATCCACCATGGCTCGTTTTTTCGGATCATTTGGATACAGAGAATCGTTCTTGCCATATTGATTGACCAGATAGGTCATAATTGCGCGGCTACAAAGCGATGCAAGCGCGTAAATAATTTATTACAATAATAAATAACTGATATTGATTTTACCAAAGAATTTGAAGAAAAATAAATTACAAAGTCGACAGTTAGAGAGTTAAAAAAAATATTTATTTTATATGTGTAAAGATTAGACTTGGGACATTCGTTAAATTTTAATGTAAAAAGATTAAAAGATAAACACCTTTCACATAAATATAAGCCATCGTCGTCCAATGTAGGTACTGTATGTTGTGGGTTCATCTATTATATAAATATATATATATATTATAAAAGTATATAAAAATATATAACAAAATAATGATTAGAATACGTTCGCCTCTGTACGTGAATCTATAGAGACTATCTAACTCGTACATCCTTCCATATCTCCTCCTTAATCCTTTCTTTTTTTGAATAAATGTAAATAAATTCTCGGAGTATGCATGTTCTACCACTTTTATAGAGTGAAATCTCATTCTTAAAGATTGAAAATTGAGGCACGCTTTAAAAAGTGCGGCTCAATTTTCACTCTTTAGAGTGAGATTCCATTCTAAAAAATTTAGAGAGTAACAACATAAAAATAATTTAATTTAAGTATTCACTTGTATTTATGTTCTTAAATGCTTCATTTAAAAAAATTTTGTTATATAAGTCACCTTAATAAATTCGGGTTTTAGATGTTCGCCGGCAGAGAGATCCACGTTCTTCACATTTAAATCCACTCCTACGGCTGGCGCAGGCAAGAGAACGGCCCGACATGGCGGACTTCCGGTAAGTTGGTAAAGATCGATGGGCATCTTGGAATCTGCGGAGACGCACGATATGCTATTAATGAAATGGCAGCGATACTCTCCATATTCTTGTGTTTAAAAGAGTAACTAATTATACGAGTATAACCGAAAAACAGAAAGAAACGAAGAAGAGTAACCAAAATATCATACACAATCTGGCATTGTCTCAAATAAATCTGGAAACACGGTAGTGTCTCGGCGTTAAGCCAAGCGCACCGACATTGCCGTGCCTCCTTTACGCGAGCCGGCGAGTTGTCTAATTTACCGCACACATAATTTGCGCTATTAATTAGTCAAAAGAAAACTTGTCAATTATAGGCCATAAGTTATAATGAACCAGTGGACCGTGGCTTCACAAATTCAATTATGCACTGGGCAGACATGGAAAATTATTCAGTAAATTTCTATGTTCATAAATCATCGCGTGTAATGAGGTACTACTCATACATTCGTCGATTTCCAGAAATTATAAAAGTCAACATCATACACTGTGAATCACAAATATTCGAAATCGTTCAAGTATAGTAGTATCACTTCGAAACAGCGATTTTGATGAATTATTTATGACAGGTGAAGAGAAATGGAAATGAAAAATCACATCGAACCAAACCTGCAGATTGTACTCTCTGGAGATGCGTAGCGAGATTATGACAGACTGTCTAATCAACTTGTTTGTCGGAGCTATATAAATAGTTCGCAGAGCCTGTGTAACAAGAAATAGGCTCTGTATTGCACAAATGCAAGAGTGAGATCAATTATCATTGAGAATTCTCCCAATACTTACTAGTAGTCTTATTTGTTTCAAACAAGCTATTTTATTATGCGAGTTACTTCTGCGCGCTTCCACTTGCATCAGAAAATAATAAATAATAATTCGATATTGTGTGTGATTCAATGTCAGTCGGCGATATAAGCGTAGATATAGTGAGTGCATAAAGAATTGTTTTGTTACATATAATCACGATTTAAAGAAATCATAATTTTTATTACTTTGTAACGAAAAGATCGAGACTTATGCAAATTATAATGATTTTTATGATGTATAATTTGCTAAATCAGTCTAATTAATTGGTAATTTGTTTCGCCTTTCAATTTCAGGATGAAGATAACTCCCTTTTTTTTATTTCTTTTGCAATAAGAAATATCATGTTTATGTCTTACTTTATTATGAAGTTGTAAAAATTAATAATAATAAGATTAGAAACAAGACCATTTATGTGAGTATATCACCTAAATGTTGTAAAAATTAAGAATTTATAATAAAACTTAATATCAATAAAATTTGTTTTTGATTACTTTTTTTTACTAATCAATAAAAATTAATCTGATTCGCCTCGGTCTACCCTACTTTATATTGCGCGAATCGACTTTTACGATCACCTAGTTGCTTCTGCTTTCCATATTATCATTACGCTTAATTTATTGTCATAAATTCATTATTTCAACACCGAAATGCGAATAATTACGTTTGCAATAATTACATCTATTCATAAAATTGCGCAAACTTAGAAAAAGCATTAATAATAACTTGATCTTACTTGGAGAAAGTTCTGATAAGCCTCGAAAGTTTAAATACTCGTTAACTTGATTACGTACAGTTTATTTTGCAATTCGATCTTGTCAATATTTTTGATATATTAGTTTTTTATCGATTAACAATTTGCGGCACAGAATCGTCGCGTAAGAACTTAGTCGCGTAAGAATCAGTCTTATTGATATACATATATCATCGTCATTATTTTTATTACATACTGCAATTGTTATTAGGAGGCACGATAATGTCTCGTCTCTAAGAGCACGCATTATAGGCAAAAAATGTAAAAACCTTGTATATATAATTAAACGGCACAATGTGAACAGCGTAATTAGATGGTATGTGCTTATGGTACAAAATATATGGCTCAGTATATCATAGCCGCAGTTTGTTAGGTAGATGATGTAACATA